TAGGACAGAAAATATCATGTTGCCTCTATATAAATCCATGGTACACCCACATCTGGAATACTGTGTGCAGATGTGGTCGCCCCATCTCAAAAAAGATACATTGGAATTGGAAAAGGGTAACAACAATTATTAGGAGTATGGAACAACTTCTGTATGAGGAGAGATTAATAAAACTGGGACTTTTCAGCTTGGAAAAGAGATGACTAAGGGGAGTTATGATTGAGGTTTATAAAATCATAACTGGTATAGAGAAAGTAAACAAGGAAGTGTTATTTATTCCTTCTCATAACACAAGAACTAGAGGACACCAAATGAAATTAATAGGCAGCAGGTTTAACGCACACAAAAGGAAGTATTTCTTCAGACAATGCACAGTCAACCTATGGAACTCCTTGCCAGAGGATGTTGTGAAGGCCAAGACTATAACAGGGTTCAAAAAAGAACTAGATAAGTTTATGGAGGATAGGTCCATCAATGGCTATTAGCCAGGATGGGCAGGGATGGTGTCCCTAGCCTCTGTTTGCCAGAAGCTGGGAATGGGTGACAGGGGATGGATCACTTGATGATTCCCTGTTCTGTTCATTCCCTCTGGGGCACCTGGTATTGGCCACTGTCAGAAGACAGGACACTGGGCTAGATGGACCTTTGGTCTGACCCAGTAGGCCCATTCTTATGTTCTTATGAGTGGGCAGGGCCCCAGGGGATTCTGGGTAATGGGCTGGGGGCAGGGGGTGGGCAGGGCCCTGGGGGAGTCTGGGTAAGGGGACTGGGTGATGGGGCAGGGCAGGGCCCTGGGCGATTCTAGGTAACAGGGGATAGGAGGATGGGGCTGGGCTGGGCCCCGCTGGATTATGGGTGACTGGGTATTCAGTTCCAGAGGCTCCTGGGTCATGCCAAAGAGGAGGGAGCCCCAGACAGGTGGCACGGCTTCTCAACCCCTTCACCCCATGTCTCCCCAGCAGGGTGACTGGGAGTTAAATGCTGTTTGTGCACAAGGCCCAGACCACCAGTGAGGGAGTGTGGCACAGGTTGGGGGCAGCTCCGTTACACACAGAGTGGAGGCTCGTGGGGGGAGGTGAGTGCTGCAGGGCATGGTGGGATGGAGCTGGGTGGGCCGGCTGCACCGGGGCAGCTGCTGTGCTTGTGGCTTCCCATCCTGCCTGCTGGGGGCGCTGCAGATGCCAGCAGCTGGATCAGGTTTGCTGAATTCCAGGTTCCGACACAAATTAAGTCCTTACCCCTTGTGGTTGTGAAAAAACTGTCCCAGCTAGGACTCACTGCAGAACTGGCCAACAGACGGATGCTGGGAGTGGTGCCATCCCTTCCTGTTCATCTCAGTGGGATGTTAACTCTGAAACCTAGTGACCACCTGTATGACAGCCATCAGCTGTGTCTCTGCTGGTCAGGTTAGTATAAACACTCAGCTGCATGGCAGTCATTGGCACAACTGGAGTAGACCCCCACCCCCACCCTCCTGAACCTACCACTCAACTGCTGTCCTAGCTGCACAGTGGTACAGGGAGTGTAGACTTTAATGAAGAGGCAATGTTAGCTAGGAGTCAGAGCAATGAGAAGGGAGTCAGGACTCCTGGGTTCTGTTCCCAGCTCTAGGAGGGGGGTGGGGTGAGTGGGGGCTGGGAGCCAGGACACCTGGGTTCTATTCTTTGCTCTAGGAAGGAAGTGGGATCCAGTGATTAAAGCACGGAAACAACAATACTTAGCAGTTATCTAATGGGCTATTTGACACCATACAGCCATTAATGGATTGACCCGCCACAGAGCCCCACGAAGCAGGGAGCTGTTATTATCCCACTGTTAGAGATGGGGAAACTAAGGCCCAGAGCTCCCCCAGCGACAGATCTGGGACCAGAACTCAGGAACTTGCGAGCCAGGACTCCTGGGTTCTGGTCCTGGCCAGCTGCACAACCTGGGGCTTGGCCTCTGTGCCTCAGTTTTCTGGCCTGCCCAGCAGGGATCATGCAGCTTTGCTGTGGGGGCGAGAGGGTTAACAGGTTGCTTACAAAGCCCTGGGTAGCATTGCCCTCGGTAACCCCAACCTCCTGCCATGCTCCAGGCTGCTGACAGTTCCCCCCCCCTCAGGGCAGCATGGGAGGGGGCGTGTTCCCAATTAGCACCTTGAGTGCTGCCAAAGGAATCTGATATTAGCCAGTGAAGCTGTGAAGAATCCTGCTGCGCAGTCCCCCTGCCAGCCCCTGCCCCGCAGCCTCTCCCGGCCGCACCCCTTGGCTGCCAGCCCAGCTCCCCGCAGAATTAGAACTGGTGCCGAGGGGTTATGTGGAGTTTAGCGTTATTTGTCTGCGTGGTAGCTGGGCCCAGCCCCCGGGCACGGGGCCAGGGCCGGGGGAGGGTTTGTTGTTCTTCTCACTAACTCCCTTATTCCAGCAGGCTGCACACGCAGAAAGTGAGCGAGAGCCCCGTGGCATGCTTAGCCCTTCGCCACTGGCAGCCTGGCAGAGACTGGGCCACTCGCGCTGGGCAGAGGGGCTCTTCCGGGGGAGGCCAGCAAGGGGCACCATCTGCATCTCGTCGGGTGTCACGTCAATGGCGCTGGGGCGAGTTGCTGCACAGACACACAGTGAGACACTTGCTGGCAGCCGAATGGGTAGGGAAAACTGAGGCACGTAGCAAGGCGGTGACTTAGCCAAGTCACCCAGCAGTGCTGTGGCAGGAGCTCTGCCAGCTGAATCGCCTTCATCCCAGCCCAGTGATCTGGCCACTAAGCCGTGCTGCCCCCGCCTGGGGTGCAGGGCTGGCGTCCACCCATGGCCCACCAGACTCGCCCAGTTCCTGCAGCGGGTTGGTCATGCAGCACTTTGGCACAGGGGTCCCTACATTTCTCTCTGCATGAGGGTGCCTATTGTGGCCCCTCCCCTCTGGCTCCACCCATTCCCCCCAGCTCTGGGGCCGTGGGGGATGTTTTGCACTGGGGGGGCAGGGGGACAGGAACATGCCCTGCCGGGGCTGGTCCCATGGGTTTGCTCCCCTTCCCCCAGAGGGGTGGACGGCCGTGGGGAGAAAGCTTCTGCGTGGCCAGTTAGCCCGTTTCCTGCCCTACTGGCCCAGGCCCATCCAGTGGGATCCCGCCTCCTGCCATCCACTGCAGAGAGAGGGGCCCTGCCCTCTGCCCACAGTCCTGCCTGGCCCCACAGCGCAGAGGCTCTGGCCAGCCCGACCTTTCCTCAGGCCCGGCCCCATAGGGTCAGTGAGGCTTGTCTGAGGCCACCCCCCAGATCCTCTGAGCCAGTCAGGCCGGTTTCTGCCCGGGGCTGGGCCTTGGCCGGCCCGTTCCCCTGCTGCCACCGATCCCATCGGCTTGGCTGCTGTGCTGGGACCTCTGCCAGACCCCTGTCTTCTCACTGCCCCCCAGCAGACATGGAGACGCCAGGCCCCAGCTCCTCTAGCTCCCTGGGCACTGGGGCAGGCCTGTTCCCCAGGGAGCGGCTCTGCAGAGGTGGGGTGACCCATGCCAGGGCTGCCCCCAGGGACCTGCCCAGCCCAGCTACCACCATCCCAAGCCCGAGGCTGCCAGACCTGCCCCAGCCCAACAGCCCCCCCCTCCCCCTGAGCCGAGTTGCCGGCCTCAGTGACCCCCCCGCGGCATGGGGATGGGGCGCAGCGTCCGATCCATGTGCCGATGGGTGGGAGTGACGCTGCGTCCCCTTGGCCAGGACGGCCCATCTGGACGGCCCCAGATGCGCTGTGGGAGGGATCCACGTTGCTGGCATAGCTGATCACATGCACAGTACAGAAGGAATGCCACTCGCAATCTGGCTCCGCCCGGATGAGCGGGGGAGGGAAAGCCCTGCTGTAACTGTGCTGGGCGTGGGGCACTGGGACAGAACATGGCCGCTCAGTCCCACGGGGCACTGGGACAGCTGCCTTCGAAGCACTGTGCTGAGGAGCAGGCTGCAGCGAGTGTGCCTCAGTTTCCCCAGCTGTAAAGTGGGGCTACTGACCTCGGTGGAGTGCCAGATGATACGGATGTTAAACCTTATGATAATGCTACTTTTAAATTCATACCTGTAAACAGGTTTAAAGTTTATCACAGCAGAGAAACCATAAAAAACCTGGTTTGCTGTGTGTGAATGGGGAAACTGAGGCACACTGCCTCATGGCCTTAATGGCTGGGTGCCAAGAGAACTATAACAACAAACTGCCTTCAAGATAGTCGGTGACTAGCCCGCTTGCAGTAAACTAAGAGGGGAGGTGTGATGCTCTGTACCTCGGGGGAACACCCTGCACTTCCATGTTCATCTTTGTAAAATGATTGTATGGTATCCAATGCATAGTTTGTCATGTCGGGTGTCTTCGGAAGGCTCATGATGCACTGAGCAGTGTTGTTACAGTGGTGTTACAGGTTGTAATTTCATGTATATAGTTATGAGGCTGAAAATGTATCCTCATGGCTTAAAACAAGCCTAGGCAAAAACTGTCCAAGAGCAGAGAGGCAGTTCACACCTCATCAGGACATGTATGGGACAAACCCAGCCCAGCCTGGCAGCAACAAAAGGATCTGTTGGACTCTTGAGTGAGTCACCCCCCTTCCCTTGGTCAGTTTGGGACTGCGATGAGGTAATGCTCACCTGACTCTGAAGGAGGGGAGCAAAGCCTAGGGGGAGGAAAGGACATGATAAAAGGGAGAGACGTTTGCCATGCTCTCGCTCTCTTCCACCTCCATCTACAGACACCACCACCAAGCGACTGAAGCGCTGATCAAAGGGGAGATCCTGGCTGAAGGGCAGCCAGCCAGCCTGTGGTGAGAAGCATCTAAGTTTGTAAAGACATTGAAAGTGTTAAGATCAGCTTAGAATGAGTTTTGCTTTTATTTCATTTGACCAAATCTGACTTGTTATGCTCTGACTTGTAATCACTTAAATCTATCTCTGTAGTTAATAAATCTGTTTGTTTATTCTACCGGAAGCAGTGCGTTTGGTTTGAAGTGTGTCAGAGACTCCCCTTGGGATAACAAACCTGGTACAGATCAATTTCTTTGTTAAATTGACAAACTCATATAAGCTTGCAGCGTCCATGGGGCATAACTGGGCACTGCAAGACGGAGGTTCCTAGGGTTGTGTCTGAGACCGGAGATATTGGCTGGTGTCATTCAGTTGGCTGGGAGCAGCTGGGCATGTAAGTAGCTGGGAGCAGCTTACATGCCAGAGGCTGGGCGTGAACAGCCCAGGAGTGGGGGGGTCTCACAGCAGAGCAGGGTAAGACTGGCTCCCAGAGTCGAGGATTGGGGAGACCTAGCAGATCACCAGTCCAGACACCACCAGGGGAACGTCACAGCACTGCAGGGAAATCGCATCCCCGAGGGGCCAAGGATGGGCACAGCCCCCAGTGACGTTCGTTTGCAGGGCCCAGGACCTCAACCCCGGTAGTGTCACCCCGACAGAGCCCTCCATGACAGCACAGCCAGCGCCCTGGCCAGATGGTCGGTGGCTGGCAGGAGCTCCCACGCACCCGGCACAGCTGGGATGGCGTCACGGCTGGCAAAGTGGGTGTCTGCCAAGCAGCGGGCTGGAACAGGAGCTGGCCGCGGGGATCGGTCCTCGTGCCCACCGCAGAGCCAGCGGGGTGGAAGGGGCAGCTACTTGCCACCTCACAAACACCTGCATCGACGTGCAGACCCAGCCCACTTGTGGGTAGAGGAGCAGTGGGGTCTAATGGTGAGAGCAGGGGATGGGGGTCAGGACGCCTGGGTCTGTCCCTGTTCTGGGAGGGGAGATTCAGCATTTCCACTCCTCCTGTCCATTGCCAGCCCTGTCACTGATACATTGTGTGACACCACGCCTGCCTCAGTTTACCTACCTGTGCAATGGGGGTAACAACACCCCACCTTACTGGGAGGGTGGGAGGCTCAGCTCCAGCTTGTGAGGCCTTTGGAGAGCCCTGGCGTTCAGGAGCGAGGAAGAGAGGGGCCTCAGAAGACCAATAATTCTCTTTGGATTGTAAACAGACGGGCTCTCACTGTATCTGGGCAGGCCCCAGTCTCAGTCGGGCTCCGGGCAGCGCCCGGCACGATAGGGCCTTGATCTCAGCCGGGGTCTGAGCAGCGCCTGGCATGACAGGGCCCTGCAGCTCTGCCCCGAGGACACTGCTCCAGCCTGGGTGTCACATCCTCTCTTACCATCTGCCCCAGACTGCACAGCCCCCTGAGCTCTGCCTCATGGCCAGGCTGCTGGGGCAGGGGGAGGGGATGGCGGCTCCATGGGGAGGAGACGCAGGTTGGCGGTGGGGACACGTGTGGGCGGCACCAGCAGGGCCAGGCCTGGGTGCTGGTTCCATGGGCCTCTCCAGGCATCAGTCACAAATGCTGGGAGGCAGCGAACAGTCCCTGGCAGTGACCAGGATGAGCTAGATGTGAGGGGCAGGTGTCAGATTGGGGTTGGGGGCACCAGCAGAGCTGTGGGGCAGGCCAGGGCTCGGCTAGCAGGGGCTGCGGGTCGGGAGTGAAGGGCACCGGCAGAGCTGGGGGGAGCCCAGGACTGGCTAGCTGGACTCAGGAGAACCGTGCTCTATTCCCAGCCCTGTCACTGCCTGGCCGGGTGACCTCAGACCAGCTCCCTGCCCGCTCTGCGCCCCCTGCACCCACCCGCCCTCTGCCCGTGTCTGTGCAGCTCCCAGCGCAGCGGGGCCTGGAGCTCAGCTTGCACCTGGCAGGAGGCGCCGTGGTGAGGATGCCTGGGGCAGGGGATTTCCCCGTTGGCCGGCAGGTCCCCTGTGATCGCAGCCCAGCGACGTTCCCATCTCGCCAGCCTGGCTGGCATCTACAGAGGGCTGGGGGCGAGGCCCAGCTGCCTCGGGGCATTTCCCATCACTGGGACCCTTTCAGGCAGTGACCGGGCAGCGGGACAGACTCTCTCTGTGCCCAGGCTGGCCCCGGGGTCCCTGCTGGGATTTGAGAGGAGCCGGGCGGGGAGGCGGGGGGGGGGGGGCGGAGCAGGGCCAGGCAGTGGGGCCGGGCTGCGAGCGGGGGCCGCGGACACCACAGAACTGCTGTCCTGTGGCTGCTCCGCCTGCTTCTGCTGCTGGCGCTGCCCATGGGCAGGGGCCTCTGCCAGCCCATCCCGGCTCCCCACCCGCTTCCCCAGGGTTCCTCCCTCTGCACTGCTCAGCCCCCTCCCTGGGTCCTCCTGCCCCCCAACCCCCATGCCTGGCCCAGTCAGCATAGCGCGGCCCAGTTAACCCTTTCCCGCAGGATCCAGCCCCGCTGGCAGGTGGGACGTGAACAGACGCAGCCTTCCCACCCCTTCCCCGCTGGCCCCATCCAGCCAGGGCAGTGTCCTGCCCTCCAGTGCCCGGCCTGTCTGTAAGCGCCCGAGCCCTGGGGCACAGTACCGCACTCGAAGGGGTCTCCCTCCCCGAGAGCTGCTGAGGGCTCCCCCTAACCCCACCCCCAGTAGCCGTCACCCCGCCAGGCTGGGCTGGTCGTTCCCTTTGGCCCCTGCTAATCTGGGCAGCTGCTCCCTGAACTGCCCCAGCTTCTCCGAGCCTCTCTGAGAGCAGGGCCCCAGGGCTGGGTGCTGGGCTCTGGGTGCAGCACCCCAGGGCTGGGTGCGGGCTCTGGGTGCTGGGCTCTGGGTGCTGGGCTCTGGAGCTGGGTGCTGGGCACCGGACCTGGGTGCAAGGCCCCAGGGCTGGGTGCAGGCTCTGGGTGCTGGGTGTAGGCTCTGGGTACAGGGTCCCAGGGTTGGGTGCAGGCTCTGGGTGCTGGGTGTAGGCTCTGGGTACAGGGTCCCAGGGTTAGGTGTGGGCTCTGGGTGCTGGGTGCGGGCTCTGGATGCAGGCTCTGGGTGCTGGGTGCAGGCTCTGGGTGCTGGGTGCGGGCTCTGGGCGTTGGGTGTAGGCTCTGAGTACAGGGTCCCAGGGTTGGGTGCGGGCTCTGGGTGCTGGGTGTAGGCTCTGGGTGCTGGGTGTAGGCTCTGGGTACAGGGTCCCAGGGTTGGGTGCAGGGTCCCAGGCAGGGGGGCTCTCGGTCGGGGCTGCAGTAGCCGATACGTCGCCCGGTGGATAATGCTGATCTCGCTGATTTTTCTCCTCCCATATAGGCACATTCAGCTCGTTACTTTCATTTGTCTTTATTCTTTCCCCCTCTCAAGCTGGGTCAGAGCCGTTGAATCACTCGGGGGTTTTTCCCACTCGAACCAGACACATTTCGTGAAATTTCCTTCGTTACAGAATGAGACACTGAAGCAAACTGCCTGAAGCCCGGCCTGGCTCCGTTAAAAGCCACCCGTCTTCTGCAGCTTAATTAACCTTTCCCAATCACCTGGCCATGCTCTGTGTCTCTGGGGCTTGGGGTGCTGTCACTTTAAGAGCAGAGACAGCTGGGAAACCCCTCCAGCATATAAAAGAGGGGAGCTTGGCCCAGGGCTGGGAGCTGGTGTCTGGCTGGGCTTGCTCTCTGCTGAAGCTAATGAGTGGAGCCCTTGTCCACTCTGCCGAGAGCATTGCTGAGCCCACCATCTCTTGCACCAGTTGGGGAAACTGAGGCAGGCAGCGGGGCTGTGGCCAGAGGCCGGTTCTGAGTGGGGTGGGTGGTGGCTCCCTGGCCTGTGCTCAGTCTCCTTCATCCCCCAGGCCTTGAAGTCATCCTGCCATGGGCCGAGGTGGCCGGAGGCTCAGGCCCTGCCTGCTCGGGAGACGCTGGCTCTGAGCAGGGGCTGTGGATTTGCTGTCAGCCCGGCCCTTCCCCCCTGACCCCATGGCCCCAACTGCAGCCTCCTCCCACCTGGAGATCTGTCCTAAGAGCTCCTCTGCCTGACCCCCAGTGCCAGAGCCTGCCCCCACCTGGGCACAGGCTTTCCTGGCCCAGCCCCCTGGTGCCCCTCACTCCTGACCCGCAGCCCCCTGCTGTTCCCAGCCTGGGACTTGGTGCATTTCCCAATCCTGGAGCTTCCAGTCCAGCCCAGCGCCAGCAGGGCCCGCCTCCCCTGCCCGCGGTGGCTCCTCCCCAGTCCCAGCCTCCCCTCCCAGCTGGCAGCTCCCAACCTGCTCCTCCTCCCTTGGGGGTGGGGGGGAGCTTCGGGGCCGACACTGAGTCGGCGTCATGGCACCGGGGCTGGGATCTCAGCGTGATGGAGCATGCAGGAGCCAGGCTGCCACATGCAGGGCCCGTGGAGGTGGGGCAGTAGCAGCAGCCCTGTGGATTTGCCTGGGGCACAGGATCTTAGGGGGGCAGCTGCCAGGCCCCTCCCCCCACGCAGTAGGGTGCTGGGAGGGGTGGGCAGGGTTCAGTGACAGCCTCCTCCTGAGAGCCAGGACTCCTGGGTTCTGCTCCTAGCTCCACTACTGGTTCGCTGGGGCCTCAGGCAAGTCTCTCGCTAGCCCTGTGCCTCAGTTTCCCCATGTGTACAATGGGGATGTACTGAACAACT